ATAGACAGATATATAGACAAGATGTTCATAAATATTTATAGATATTTGATAGATAGAAACATAGACAGATATAGACAAGATATTCATAAATATTGATAGATATTTGATAGATAGTTAGAGACATAGACAGATATATAGACAAGATGTTCATAAATATTGATAGATATATGATAGATAGATAGAGACATAGACAGATATATAGACAAGATGTTCATAAATATTTATAGATATTTGATAGATAAGACAGAGACATAATCAGATATATAGACAAGATGTTCATTAGTTCAGTTTGCAGAGGTCGATACTTCATGACCTCAGTGTTCCTTACATCATCAGATATATAGACAAGATGTTCATTAGTTCAGTTTGCAGAGGTCAATACTTCATGACCTCAGTGTTCCTTACGTCAAGGTCAACAGAGTCTAAAAATTACTGATTATGTATAGTCTCACATAGGTCTTTAAATATTCTAAGTTAGAAAAAAATCGAAGCTATGATGTCTACTTGGGGGTGGCACCAATGTAAGCCTTCTCATGTCTATTAAAAGTGGTCGTAAAACAAATAGTTCCACAGTAGGTCATATAAATGAAATGGTTCTATATGCTCAACAATTGCAATGTTTCATGTTTACTGAATTTTATAAAATTATAACTTGAATCTAACAGCTTCGTCTTCCTATTCCACAGTTTTATGGCACATACTTATCACTGGCAGCCGTAGTACATTTGAATTTCCGAGCCGGGTCAGTCTTTCCGGTCGCAGTTTGTACTGTACCTAGCTCTATGGACAGGACCTGTAACAAGGTTGACCGTCAACCGTTGACGTGGTCAGACTTTATGCTTCATATAGGTTGAATTTACTTTTACTGAAGGGGCAGAGGTGCGTGTTATTTTAATTTTTAAAAATTCTTAAAATAACCTGAAAAGCAAATTTCTGAATATTGATTTACGTGATTTCAGACATAAAAGTTTTATTTTGGCAAAGTTTTGACATTTTTTATTTTAAAGAAGTTTCTAGAATCCGGCTGCCGCCCCACCATACATGCTTTGGAGACGGGGTACTCCACTTGAAAAAAAGTTTTCAAAGGTCGTCTTTTGATTTTTTAAATGTTATTATTTACTATACAATTTTAAATGAAACCATTTTTTATTCTTAGAAAATATGCTTGTATTGCTGATACTTTTGCATCCCAAAAAATGTATTTTTTACGGCATTCAGTCTAATTTTTACCCTTTTTAATGGAAAAAATAACCTATTCTGAATACATGTACGCAGTCTTTGTACATTAAATAAATATTTCTTATTCAATTGAAGTATAGTCTGCAAAGCATGTAAAATCATATGGTAGGGCGGGCTGGGTCGATTCAATCTCCCTTTTATTCCATGATCCTTGCTTTTTACCCGTTGAAATAAACCACTTTTACTATATTACTTTCATAATTCATGCTAATTCTTTCAAAATGTGCGCTGAGGAGTTTGTGTTGCTAATCACATCAAATCCAATGAGAATATTAGGGACGTCCTACACCCACACGTCACTAAACCAAGAATGATGCGAGGTCTTACGATATGTACACTATGTTCATTTTTTACTTTGAAGTTTAAAGAAATTAGTAATGCTTTGTATTCTAAGAATTGCATATCTCTTTTTTGTTTTTAATTATTACAAATCAATTCAAAATTCATCCTACTGATCTTATACCTACTTTAAATCTACAAAACATACCATTAATTGTTATATAAATATATATATATTTCATATTAATAAATACCATGTATTTATTACAAGACTCATTTAGCTAAATTCGTTAAAAAATAATAAAATTGCATTGTACATAGAACGAGCTTACAACAAGGAAACATGAAATATTTAAAATGTATAAAACGGCGACACAGTAAAAAGTACAAATATAAAAATTTATGCTAGGGGTGGGTAGATGGAGGGAATTGATACTGGATGATTATTAATAATTCTTCATACAGGGTTACCCAAAAACCATGAGACTTTATGACGACCTAAGCTTACGTTTAGTCTTTAAAAGGTTTGCTTAAATTAGTTTGTGATCTCTACAGTTTCATATTTTGTGGGCACCTCTGCATGAGAATACGCTATTAAAGAATGTCCAGACTGATCATTTAGAAACAGAAGTTGTTTACTTTGTTTGCAGTACGTAATCGTATGTTGCAGGCATAGGATAGTTATAGCTAAAGATATTTAAGATTGAGACTACATCAACTTATTATGTGTACTGCAAACATTAATAAATGACGTTATTGTTTGTAAATGATGATTTAAGAGATTTTTTTAACAAATTTAAAGTATTTAACAATGTTCAAAAATGATTTTAACAATTTTACTCTATGAAGTTTTGATTGATAAAAGTTAAAAAGATATCATCGTTAATCCCTTTTTGACAATCTTTGGATGAAGGGTCGCTTTTAAGATTGGGCTGACAATCTCTGAATCGATATTAGATAGTTTGAAAATATTATCATTTTAAAGCGTGATGCATTTATTGGTTTAAACCCAGTATAAAGGGGACTAGAGCTGCAATATGAAGATTAACTATTTAACTAAACTAGGTTAGAACAAACATCGTTTTTAATCCATTTTTAACATTCAAGTTTTTTGGGCTTTTAGGGTCGTCCAAAAGTGTCTTAGAAAAATAAAATTTTTCCAAAAGTCTGTTTTTATTACACAAAGCTATAATTTTTTTCTTAAAGGGAGTGTTCGCGAAAAATGAACACTCCCTTTAAAAATTTCTCCTTATAGACGCAACAGATAGAAATAAGAAGAGTAGCGATCAAAAGCGATTATTTTTCGCCGTAAGCCTGTACCCCCTTTCATTTTTCGCGAACACTCCCTGTAACAAAGATATTTACCAAAACGATTTAACAACCGTTTTAAAGTTAGCTGATATTTTTTGCTAGGATAAAAACCCTGAATGTTGAAAATGAATCTTTAAACCATGCTAATCTTAATAACAGGAAGATACACCAGAAATCCTTCTATCTTTGGTTTCTTTAAGTGTACTGCAGATACTGGAGGGAATGTTTGTTAACATTCCAACCAGAAGTGCAGTTTACGTTAGTAGTAAGCCAAGGTTTATATAAAGGTTCTATTGTTTCTCATTTTGATCTATTTACCCCATTTTCCAATAATTTCGCTCATGGTATTACAAAAAAACCAAATTGCGTCATATGTAATCTTGTAGCAATGCAAATCTCAGATCTTGAAGATTTATCAATAAAATGATGTACGCTTATATTATGCGTATTAAACTTATTTACAGGATTATTATGAAATATGTTTGACTGTTTGCCTAGTGTAGCCTGACAAGGAGGTTTCAAGGGCTTTTCAAGCATCAACAACACTTAGATGTTAATGTATAGATAATAGAATATGGCACTTCAGATTTATTCGTTTTAGTCCTTTTGAGTTTTAGAAATACAAGTTGAATATTATACGTGAGTATTTTTATATGTTCTCACGAATACTCTTGAATGCTCACGTATGCCCGTGAATATTCCGTAAATACTCATGAATGAATACTCACATACTCACGTGAATATTCTGTAAATACTCTAATATTCACTTATTCCAATGAATATTCGTAAGTACTCGCGAATGATCCCGTATGCCAATGAATATTAGGTCAATACTCTTAAATACTCACGTTTACTCAATCAAACTTCGTAAATACTCATGATTTTTAATATATGAGTAATCCGTAAATACTTATATACGCTCATGAGTAATCCGTAAATACTTATATACGCTCATGAGTAATCCGTAAATACTTATATGCGCTCATGAGTAATCTGTAAATACTTATATACGCTCATGAGTAATCTGTAAATACTTATATACGCTCATGAGTAATCTGTAAATACTTATATACGCTTATGAGTAATTTGTAAATACTTATATACGCTCATGAGTAATCCGTAAATACTTATATACGCTCATGAGTAATCCGTAAATACTTATATACGCTCATGAGTAATCTGTAAATACTTATATACACTCATGAGTAATCTGTAAATACTTATATACGCTCATGAGTAATCTGTAAATACTCATATACGCTCATGAGTAATCTGTAAATACTTATATACGCTCATGAGTAATCCGTAAATATATATATATATTCTCATGAGTAATCTGTAAATACTTATATACGCTCATGAGTAATCCGTAAATATATATATATATATTCTCATGAGTAATCTGTAAATACTTATTTACGCTCATGAGTAATCCGTAAATACTTATATACGCTCATAAGTAATCTGTAACTACTCATGGGTATTATCGTAAATACTCATATATTCCCACATGAATTCTTCGTAAATATCACGTAATTTAAACCTGATTTCTAATTTGTGTGACTTTGTCAGGTTTAACATATTTTAAGCTCTGAGTACAACTTTTTACCGGAGGATTTGAGAGATCATTTCACAACAGTTTTGGAGGATTTTCACGTGTTCACTGTACAACGGTACACCGCATAGGTAGTGTACATAAACCCCATGGGGTCTTCAGAAAATACCTAATTTGAAGACATCATCTTTGTTTATAAATTCACAATGCGTTTTGGATCGTCAGTTTTGCTTTTAGTAAACAAATAACTCTAGATGGAGTTCTAGATTGTAATCTAGATCTATATTAAAACTTGTTGTATTGTCTAGTGTCTAGATTATCTAGAATGTCAGTTCTAGAATTCTGCACTGAGTCTAGGAGAAGCACTTCTTCTATCTTGTCTTATAATTGTTGAAGGTTCTCGTTTCACTGTATTGTATCTAGAACAGGATAGGGTTAATCAACATAAACCGGGTACATGATTCAGCTTCCTGGTCATCCTCAGGCATATCGAACTGGGTAAGGCGTGGTGTAGGTGGAGTGGGTGGAGCCTTCCATCGTCCACTTCGTACACACAGCTTAGCTAGAAGAATTAATATTATCGCCAGAACAACGGCGATTCCCACCGCGATGAATACAGGAATGGCGATGCCGGTGGCGTATATTGTTGCCATTATACTGGACTCTTGAACTTCTACATTCTGAAAGACGGCAGTTGTTCCGCCCTGATTTTTTACAAAACACTCATATTTTCCAGCATCCTCCACCCTCAGATTCCTCAGCAGTAGAGTCTGATTTCCATCTGTGATATTCGCCCTGGCAGGATCCAGCTCTGCCCCGTTCCGCCGCCAGATAATTGTAGGGCGGGGCCGGCCCAGGACACGACACTGCAGTAACATACTTCCGCCTGCATCCACCAGCTTTGCCTGGTTCCCCTCCGCCCTCGACTTGCCCGCCTCCATCTCCCCGAGGAGGTTGGTCTGATGGATAGAGGGCGGTTCAACCTTTACAACTCGTTGTGTTCTTGTCAACTTTCCTTTATCATTTTCCGCCTCACATCTAGAAAAAAATTATATAATATGGGAAACTAATTAAGATAAAATATTTTTGATCAAATTAATTCAATTAATCATTTTGGAAACAGTTTTTCCTTCAACTCTCAGCTTAAAATAAAACTGTACAGGCGGAATTTTCAAAATCTTCAAAACGAAATGAGAAAAATTTACTAGTTACTTCAACCAATCATAAAGCTTTCAATTAAGTTGTAAATTCATCAAACACCTTGCAAGGTTTAATGACCCCTGGAAACTTTGATACCTAGCTACAAATCAAATAAAAATGGTTGCAAAGCCAAAATGAAGATTTGACCTGTATTCTCCCTCATCTATATCCTCTACCACTACACCCACTATTAGAGCTTGTGTTTTCTCAACCAGTTTAAGATTATCATTCAGAGTTACAGGCTTCCCATCCTTATACCAAGAGACCTAAATACAATATACAAATCATTCAGAGTTACAGGCTTCCCATCCTTATACCAAGAGACCTAAATACAATATACAAATCATTCAGAGTTACAGGCTTCCCATCCTTATACCAAGAGACCTAAATACAATATACAAATCATTCAGAGTACAGGCTTCCCATCCTTATACCAAGAGACCTAAAAAAAATATACAAATTCTAAACATGCAATTTTGGTTTGCAAAAACTCACGCAATGTGATTTATGACATTAACGAATGATAATTAGACAAAAGAAAACTTAATGATTTTATAACTTTCCTTATGAAAAAAATATAAATTGATGGTGAAATTAAAAGATAGTTTTCAAAATCTTCTAATTTAAAAATAGATATTTATATAATTGCTGTGGAATACTGTAATGAACAATAATAATTTTTTAGAAATTTAAAACATATTCTTAAAAGTCCTACCTTAGGCATATGTGTGCCGCCAACTTTACAAAACAAACGTACACCTTCACCCTTCCCAAATATTAGAGTCTCATTACTGTACATATTTGTACTGTACAGCCGGGGTGGTTCGTAAGCCTGTACTCTAAACAAAATAATGTGATTATTAGAAACTAGGTTGGAAACAAAGTTTTCTTTATAGGAGTCAACAAATTCAACTAAGAACTTTAAAACTTAGTAAAAAACATTCCCGTGGTTCTGCACAGTTCCCCAATCAAAATGTGAGGCAAATCAGTTAAGTGGTTCCTGAGTTTTGATCGTACATTCAAACAAACAGAGATTACTACTTTATATAAATATGGCTATATAAAAAAGATTGTTCAGAAAATAAAATAATCACAAAAAAATCCCAGAAATTGGTTATATACAAAAATTGAAAAATTAAAACAAGAATTATATTTATCAATTCAAATTTAAAATAGATGTTTGAATACGAATGGAATCCACAATATACCTTATCTCAATTTGGTCTTCCCGCAGGACCGCATCTAAGTTATGCCTGCGTCTAGGGCCGGGCGGACGAGCGCGGCAAACATAAGTTCCAGAATTATCGGTTTGAATTGCTTTAAACTTCAAACCTAAATATTAAAAAGTGAATTAGTAATATATATTTTACAAAAAATACATTTTTTACAAAAAATACATATTTTACAAAAAATGCATATTTTACAAAAAATACATATTTTACAAAAAATACNTCCCTTGGGCAAACACAAATAAATTTACACTTTTCTCTGGAAAAAGTTAAAGAGTAGGGATGAACAAGGTTAATTAATAATGTTGCTCAAAATAGGATACAAATATTTTTTACATTTTTTGACCCCTTTTTTTGGCATTTTTTTCAACCCTCCCTAGCACCCAAACTATTAAAGTTATCGGTCTAATTTTGTTTTCAATGAGCTGGCCTTGAAAATTGGGCTATGAACATGCTTTTCAACCCCTAGCCATTGCAGGGTTAAGGACCAATAATAGCCAAAAAATATTTGGCAGATTTTTTGTTGAACAAGTTAATCAAAATTTTTATTAATAAGTACATTATTATTAAGTACATTATTATTAAGTACATTATTATTATTAAGTACATTATTATTAAGTACATTATTATTAAGTACAGACAAAAAATACAGTAATTTTCCTTGATAAAAATATAAGATTATTAAAAGGTTTAATATTCAATTTTTATCTTTTTATTCTTAATATTTTAAATTTTCCACCTTTGACAATATCGAATCTGGTAATGTCAGTGTACATCTCTAATGAACGATCTTCAACGCTAGCAATTTCCTGAAAAAAATGCTTAAATAATAAGTAAGACAAGAACCCTGAGGCCGAATTTGAAGAAGTTAAACTGAGTCGCTGAACCGACAATTACCGGTTCCAATTGAGCGCCTGCTTAAATCTCGGAACACTGAATACAATTTCAAGTGGAACCAACAATGTTTGAGCCGCGTCTCAAATTTAAGACACGTCTCAAATTCTTTAAATTCGGCCTCTGGTAAAGTGAATAAAACATTATGAAGTTTTGATAACAACTTGATAAAAACTCAAAAGGTTGACAGGGGGGGGGTAGTTATTGTCTAGGTGTTATTAAATCTAGTTCTATAATTCTATTGCTATTATTAATTGGTTCAACATTTTACATGGAGCTCTTGGGTAGACACATTGACACAGACTATTAAGAATTTTAAATTAATGAAATTCCACGGGCAACGCCGGTAGGATAAGCTAATCCTCATGATTAAATACAAACTGCAGGTAAACTGCAGGTGTAACTATGAATTGCATTTAAACCCTAGACAACGCCGGGCACTCCAACTAGTTATTAGTTAATAATTTTATTATTTCTGTTGTTATCAAAAATTATTAAATTTGAAGGATCAACCTGATTTCCGTGAACTGTCTGTTTATACCAGGATATGCTGTCCTCGCTATAATTGTATCTAAACAGGAATATTTAGATGAATATATGAATAGATGTTTAGATTAATAGATGTTCAGATGAATAGATGTTAAGATTAATAGAAGTTCAGATTAATAGATGTTCAGGTGAAAAGATATTTAGATGTTTAGATGAATAGATGTTTAGATGAATAGATATTTAGATGAATAGATATTTAAATGAATAGATAAAGAGATGAATAAATGAATAGATATTTAGATGAATATATGCATAAATGTTTGGATGAATTGATATTTAGATGAATCGATGAATATATGTTTAGATGAACAGATGAATAAATGAATAGATTTTAATATGAATAGGTGAAAAGATGCATGGGTGAATAGATCATTTAAATAAAAATTGAAAAAAAGAATAGGTAATTAAAGGATGAATAAATAAATGATAAATGAATATATACCTGCTAGCAGTACATTTTACTTCCACCTTCTCCCCCTCTAGCACTTTCTTTTCTCCACTAAAAATACAATAATTAATCTTTTTTTTCCAACTGGGATTAAAATAATAAACCTTTTTTCCCCACTAGGAATATAATAATAAACCTTCTTTTCCCCACTAGGAATATAATAATAAATCTGTTCTTCTTACTAGGAATACAATAATAAACCTTCTTTAGCCCACTAGGAATACAATTATAAACCTTCTTTTCCCCACTAGGAATAAAATAATAAACAATCCTTAGCCCACTAGGACTATAATAATAAACCTTTTCTTCCTACTAGGAATACAATAATAAACCTTCTTTAGCTCACTAGGAATAAGAATAATACACTTTCTTTTCCCCACCAGGAATATAATAATAAACCTTCTTTTCCCCACTAAGAATACTATAATAAACCTTCTATACCCCACAAGTAATACAATAATAAACCTTCTTTTCCCCACTAGGAATAAAATAATAAACCTTCATTTCCCCAGTAGGAATAAAAAATAAGCATTCTTTTCCCCATTAGGAATAAAATAATACACCTTCTTTTCCCCATTAGGAATAAAATGATACACCTTCTTTTCCCCACTAGGAATAAAATAATAAACATTCTTTTCCCCACTAGGAATACTATAATAAACATTCTTTACCCACTAGGAATACAATAATAAACATTCTTTACCCACTAGGAATAAAATAATACACCTTCTGTCCCCCACTAGAAATAAAATAATACACCTTCTTTTCCCCACTAGGAATACAATAATACACCTTCTTTACCCCACTAGGAATAAAATAATACACCTTCTTTTCCCCACTAGGAATACAATAATAAACCTTCTTTTCCACACTAGGAATACAATAATAAACCTTCTTTAGCCCTCTAGGAATACAATAATACACTTTATTTTCCCCACTTGGAATACAATAATACACCTTCTTTTCCCCACTAGGAATACAATAATAAACCTTCTTTACCCCACTAGAAATACAATAATAAACCTTCTTTACCCCACTAGGAATACAATAATAAACATTTTTAGCTCACTAGGAATACAATAATAAACCTTCTTTACCCCACTAGGAATACAATAATAAACCTTCTTTACCCCACTAGGAATACAATAATACACCTTCTTTTCCCCACTAGGAATACAATAATACATCTTCTTTTCCCCACTAGGAATACAATAATAAACCTTCTTTTCCCCACTAGGAATACAATAATACATCTTCTTTTCCCCACTAGTAATACAATAATAAACCTTCTTTTCCCACTAGGAATACAATAATAAACCTTCTTTTCCCACTAGGAATACAATAATAAACCTTCTTTTTCCCACTAGGAATAGAATAATAAACATTTATTTATTAATAGGACTGTCAAAATGATTTCAAGTGAGCCTTAAAAGAATGTTATTTCCTTTAAAACTTTCTGACAAACAATAATTAGGACATCGTCGGTTTTCTAAATTATAAGTGATTATTTTTGTCAATTTCTTTTCTCTACTCTCTGCGACATAAATTCACTAATTGATTTTTTGTAGAACCCCCATTGAAAGTTTTTCATTTTCAGATTTAAAAACAAGAACTACTCCAGACTAAGGTTTAAAGGGAAGGCCCCTGGAAAGTTACGTGGCCATTTTCTTTATAGCCATTTCTTTAATAGCTTGAAATTCGAATGAGAATTGAAAACTAATAATTATTGTTAAATAATTTCCTTTTTGTTATTCTCAAATCCTGTTTTTATTGTGCTATTGTGTTGAAACCCAATCCATCACATTTGTTTGCAAAAATTAAATTTTGTTGCAAAACAAACACGTATTTAACAGGATCTGCATACCCACCAGCTTGCAGAAATAAATATCATGCCAATGACGAAATGTTAAATGTTTAAAAGAGGGAAAAGAGTGGGGGGTAGGGTAGGGTAGGGTAGGGTAGGGTAGGGTAGGGTANTTAAACCTTGACTAGAAATATTTTCTTTTTTAATCAAATTTTTAAATTTCTAAATTTCTAAATTTAAATTCTTTTAAATATTGGATAAGAAGATTTTGAAAAATTCGGCGAAAACCCTGCACATTAATTATTTTTATGAAAACCCACCTAATCTGAAATCCGTCTTTAACTGCAGTAACAAAGAAGTTTAAAGCAGACGATTCTGCAGTTTCTCCACTGTGAGCAATACAGGTGTATCTCCCTAATCAACCAAACAGGCTCAAGATTAACTTAATTCTAAGCTTGACAAATCTAAGGATTAACTTAAAGCGCTTTAAAGTTTTTAAAGAAAAGCTGTAAATTTTAGTTAGAAATTTTTAATTGTTGTTATATCTTTGTTATCGTTGAAAAATATTTAAATATTATTTCCCAAAAATTATCAATGTTATCAATGAGATCAATGGCGGCAATAGCATCAATGTTGTCAAAACTGTCAATCGTTTCAATTGTATCAATTAAAAAACCAACGTTACCATCAAAGGTAGGTATCAATAATATCAATGGCTTCAATGGTATCAAATATATCAATGGTATCAAAAATATCATTGGTATCAAAGATATTATTGGTATCAAAGATATCTTTGGTATCAAAGATATCATTAGTATCAAAGATATTATTGGTATCTAAGATATCATTGGTATCAAAGATATCAATGGTATCAAAGGTATCATTGGTATCAAAGATATCATTGATATCAAAGATATCATTGGTATCAAAGATATGATTGGTATCAAAGATATCATTGGCATCAAAGATATCATTGGTATCAAAGATATCATTAGTATCAAAGATATCATTGGCATCAAAGGTATCATTGATATCAAAGATATCATTGGTATCAAAGATATCATTGGTATCAAAGATATGATTGGTATCAAAGATATCATTGGCATCAAAGGTATCATTGATATCAAAGATATCATTGGTATCAAAGATATCATTGGTATCAAAGATATCATTGGTATCAAAGATATCATTGGTATCTAAGATATCATTGGTTTCAAAGATATCATTGGTATCAAAGATATCATTGGTATCAAAGGTATCAAGGGTGTCAATAATCTTTGACTGTTTTCCTGAATCAGTAGCTGTAACTAGTAGAGTAGAATCCACCTGAAAGCGCCTAAAACAATAATTGATTAGTTATCATGAATTTTAATCTTAAGAGGATACAAATTCTTTATATAAAAGTTAAAATCTTATTTCAGAACACACAAAATTTATACGTAATGTAGCTTCAATTGAGTCTTAGTTACAAAAATTGCGATGTTGTATACTTTTTAACGAGATGAACAATCTTTTTGAGGGAAAACTAAATTATGTTCTACACAGTTCATAAGAATTAAATAGCTAGATATCGCGTGAAATTGATAGATAGCTAAGTGATATAGTAGGATAGCTCACACAAAAATTTGGAAAGAAAAGCTCATGATAGATAACTAGATAACTAGAATGATAGAAAGATAGCACAGGATAGCTTACGATAGATAGCTAGTGAAATAACTACTAAGATAGCAAGATAGCAGGATAGCTTATGATAGATAGCTAGTGAAATAACTACTAAGATAGCAAGATAGCAGGATAGCTTACGATAGCTAGTGAAATAACTACTAAGATAGCTAGATAGCAGGATAGCTTACGATAGATAGCTAGTGAAATAACTACTAAGATAGCTAGATAGCATGATAGCTTATGATATATAGCTAGTAGAATATCTAGTAAGATAGTTAGATAGCAGGATAGCTAGATATCCCAATGTGTTACAATCTGAAATAACAAAGGGGAAACTGTAAACTGCGGACAGATCTATCTAAACTTTCAAGACAGATAGATAAACAGATAGATAGGTAGATAGACATAGACAGAAAATAGACAAATAGATAGATAGTTATTCAAATATGTAGAGAAAGACAAAGAAAAGGTGGGGGGTGCAAATAAACAAAGAGTTTTGAAAGAATAATACTGAAATGAATACACACTGTACAATGCACATATTCCTCTTTCTGTTTAACTAGACTATTATAACTGTAAACATTTTCTCTTTGGATACATTGTAAAACAAAAACTAAAAAAAATCGCGGATTTTATAAAAAAATTGGTGGATTTTTTAAATTTAATGAAAATCGAATTTTGTTGGGAGGCTAATTTTGAAATTTTGATCATCCAGAAACCTTCCCTTGGGTCACGTGAGGTCCCACAAAAAAATTGGGCCCGCTCAGTTCAGTCGTTTTGACGTTTATTGGATACAAACATATCGACAGACAAGAAAAGTATATATATATATAAATAAATACACTTCAAGTAAAATGAAAGAACTATTGTTAAACGTTAATGACACTTTTACTCTCTTCTAACCCCTTTGCACCCAACAAGAACATGTTTACTCAGTTGCAATTTAATCCTTTACATTAAAAACAACATATTAGGTTCATAGGTACGACTTGTCTTAGTTTCTTTTAAAGATAAATCTCAAAAGTTTTCAGAATGGAGCCAATATATCAGCCAAAGGGTTAGACAAGGGTGGCTGAACTTTTCTCAATGAAATTTATTTCATTTTGTAAAAACATTTCATTTCTGTTTAATACCTTTATAATAGTCAACACAATACATTTTTTTGATAATAAGAGCTATATCAATTTTTTATTTTATTTCGTTATTTTTTGTATTTCAGTTTTTTAATGAAATCAATAATTTGACCAAAATAGAATAAGAATTCTAATAAGATGTAAGGCCTCTCTGTCCATTTTCTGCCATCCTTGCCTATATTTTATTTAGTCTATTTATAATTTGGTTTAATCTATTTATCAAATTTCTAAACGTCTATTATCTATTTATTTTATCTAGTTATTTTATCTTGTCTATCTATCATCTTAATTTGCCCACCTATCCATCTATTTATCTATCTATCTATCTATATATTTGTCTATCTATATGTCTGTTAATCTTAATCTTATCTTTTTCTATCTATCTGTCTATCTATCTTATCTTGTCTATCTTGTCTGTCTTATCTTGTCTATCTTGTCTGTCTTATCTTGTCTATTTTATCTTGTCTATCTATCTGTCTATCTTCTCTTGTCTATCTATCTGTCTATCTATATGTCTACCATTCAGTCTATCTATATGTCTATCCATCTGTCTATCTATCTATATATGTGTCTATCTATATGTCTATCTATCTATCTATCTATCTATCTATCTTGTCTATGTATATGTTTCAAGTTAATTGTTACACAGACCAGAGGACATGTATTTGACATGAAAATAAAACACTAATACATCTTTCTTAAACACCTTAACATCCGGAGTTTGGCCCCCCCCCCCCCTCTTAAAGTGTTTTTCAGAAAAAAAGAAAACCAAATCAGCTTTTTAAGCTTTAAAATCTGTTTAAAATCAAAAATGAATATTTGTTATGTAAAGAGAGGGGGACGGGGAGGGGGGTTGTCTGAGAACGCCCCTTTCCTTGTATTTCAGGTGAACTACCCCCACATTAAGGAGCTATCAATATATGTCAGGTTGCCAGACTTGTTTCCCCACAAATATTCGGAAACAGAAATATTCGGTAACACAAATATTCGGGAACACAAATATTCGGTTACAAAAATAATCGGAAACGGAGATAATTGGTAACAAAAATATTCGGTAACAACAGTATTAGCTAGCAGAAATATTTGGTAACAGAAATATTCGGTTACACTAATATTAGTTGACAAAATATTCGGTACACAAATATTTGTTTTAACAAATTACGGTAACAGAGATATTGGTACCAAAAATCTTCGGGAACACAAATATTCCGAACCAAAAATATTCGGTAACAGAGATTTTCGGAAACAGAAATATTTATTTTGATCATGATTTTTTAAAAGTTGTTGTTTTTTACTTAAAGAAACTTTAAACGTACATTAAAGTATTATTTTATGTGTAACCATCTTTGCAATTAAAACTTTACTTTTGTGGAAGAAAAGAAGAAAAGGGTCATATGTTTCCAGTGTTTACTTTCCGACTTTTTGTCCAGAAACTTCGCGGAAAAACTAGTTGACAAGTTAAAAGAACATGTGTAAGAAATCAACAAGTAAAAATAAATGTAAATGAATTGCATACAGGGTCACCAACAAAAGAGGAGATGTTAATGACGACCTATAACTCTGTTTTGGTTTAATATTTAATATAAGTCTTTTTATGAAACTATTGTGTACTTTATCATTCTTACTCACGTCATCGTGAATTTCATAATAAACGTGCTATAAGTAATCATTTGTGCTATAAAGTAATCATCGTGCTATAAAGTTAAATTAGCACGTTTGCTATAAAGTTTTGATTGGTTCCCGGATTTTCTTCAAAAATTTAGGATATTTTCAAATAATTTTTTTCAATTGAAATGAAAATAGCTTGAAATAAACTTTATTTTTTTACTTCTGCTTTGTTTCAAAGCTTATTTGATCTATAGAAATAGTCATTGAAATAAGACAAGCAAACAATCGTTTCCAAAAATTACCTATAACATTAACATTTTGGCACGACGTTCTATAAAGTTTTTGAATTTAAATTGACTATATCTCGAAGGTTCTCATCTTTTTAGATTATAATTTGTTTCCTCACTAAAGCTCGGGACAAAATTAAATCTAAAAAGGCTTAAACCTTCTCGATAAAGAGAAAATTTCTGTCCAAAAACTTTATAACACTGCGAACCAAAATAACAGTGTTATAAATAGTTATTAATATATATCTACTAATTTGACCAAAATAGAATCAAGAGCCACATTTGTAAAAAAAACTGAACAATTGTTGCACAGTCGTTTCTAAAATCATATACTTTATTAGTAACCCTGTTTATTATGTCGATTGTGTGAATATGATCAATATTCTAAAATATTTACAATAAAATGCAATATGAAAAAATTTAAACTAAATCATATTGGAGCATAAAAGATATATTAAGATAATTAGTTTTAGTTGAATTATTTACTTCCTCAAAAATAGGGTAGGGTAGGGTAGGCTGCCTAGGATACCCCCTTGCAGAACACCTAAAATATATTCTTTACAAACTCAGGGTCTACCTTGCAGTACACCTAAAATATATTCTATACAAACTCGGGGCCTAGGATACCCCTTGCAGTACACCTAAAATATATTCTTTACTAACTCGGGGCCTAGGATACCCCCTTGCAGTACACCTAAAATATATTCTATACAAACTCGGGGCCTTGAATACCACCTTGCAGTACAATTAAAATATATTCTATACAAACTCAGGGCCTAGGATACCCCCTTGCAGTACACCTAAAATATATTCTTTACAAACTCGGGGCCTTGGATACCCCCTTGCAGTACACCTAAAATATATTCGATACACACTCGGCGACTAGGATACCCCCTTGCAGTACACCTAAAATTTATTCTTTACAAACTCGGGGCCTAGGATACCCCCTTGCAGTTCACCTAAAATATATTCTATACAAACTCGGGGCCTAGGATACCATATATTCTTTTCAAACCAGACGTAAGGCTAAATAGGATTAAGGACAGGACGACATTCCCTTTGATTACAATTTATGCCTGAAAAATAAAATCTAAACAATATTATGAATAAGGCAAAAAAGTACCTTAGGGTATACATTTCACCAAGGTTAAACAGTCCACTCTCTGGTTGAGATACCACAGTGATAGAAACCTAGAATTATAAAACTGTAAAACCAAAATATTTTTTATATATTCTATGGAAACTTTAAAAGAATTGCCGATAAAAACTTGACTTTTAACCTCTCTTGATCAGTCATACCAAACCTGTAATGAAAGACTAAAAACTTGAGATAAAGTCGAAATGAATTCGTCTTAAAAACCGTGAATTTGAATCTATATTTAAAAATATTGTTCAGTTCTGTTAATTGGCTTCCATATTATCAACAATAACATAGACTGAACATTTCTAAATTTGATAGTTTTGTTGTCTAGATTGCAATTGTGTAATTCTACTTAACATCAATCCTTTAGGAGGAAAAACGGGTATAGTTGGTAGAAACTCAATATGATATTGAATTGAGAAAATTATTTTCAAACTCAAGTAATTTTAAATGTTTTCGAATTTTAAATGTGCATTTTGAAATGTTCATACAGAGGTCGACGTTTATATTAATACAATGAAGACGACTTTTCCATTTAAGTTTTGATTTCTAACTAGCTTTTTCAAAGTTACAAGATTACATGTAAACAAGGAGAAGCTGTTAATTGACAGCTTCTCTCTGTTTCAATTTAATGTGTATCCATAATGTTTGAAAGCTTCGAAGTAATCAAAAATTGAAACCAAAATTCGACTTCATTATATGATATATACGACGTCGACGACTTTATGATTTTTATCATACCAACGTATATCAGCATAATCTAAAATTGTACAGTGTACATAAATACACACCTGAGGGGGTTCGGTTACAATGAGAGTAAAATTTTCCCATTTTACTTCAAACTCATTTTCAACCCTCACCCTGTAGACTCCGCTGCTCTCCAGCTCTAACCCCTTCAGTTTCAGCATAGACCTAGAGATATTAGAGTTTATTAAACCCTTCAGTTTTATATCAGACCTAGAATCAATAGAATTTATCAAATCTTTCATACTTAGAGAATACTAAAGTTTACAAACCCTTTAGTTTCAGCAAAGACCTAGAGATATTAGATTATTTATTTTATATATTATATTATATTGATTACATATTATTATTTGATTATTATCAAACCCTACAGTTTCACCATAGACCTAGAGATATTAGAGTTTATCAAACCCTGAAGTTTTAGAATAGACCTAGAGATATTAGAGTTTATCAAACCCTTCAGTTTTAGAATACACCCAGAGATATTAGAGTTTATTAAACCCTGAAGTTTTAGAATAGACTTAGAGATATTAGAGTTTATCAAACCCTACAGTTTTAGAATAGACCTAGACCTAGAGATATTAGAGTTTATCAAACCCTTCAGTTTTAGAATAGGCCTAGAGATATTAGAGTTTATCAAACCCTTCAGTTTTAGAATAGGCCTACAGATATTAGAGTTTATCAAACCCTTCAGTTTTAGAATAGACCTAAGATATTAGAGTTTATCAAACCCTTCAGTTTTAGAATAGACCTAGAGATATTAGAGTTTATCAAACCCTTCAGTGTGAGCGTAGACCTAGAGAAAATTCCAGCTTTTCTGGACATTCTTTGTTTCTTTGGCGAAAAGCAGTTCTTATTAGGCACGATAAAATTATTAAATAAACCAATGAAAATAATGTGCTAAGCTATGAAAGGATTATTAACTTAAAAGTTTTATCAATTAATTTTTTTTCTTTATTTATATATTTTACTCACAAATACAAGTTAGGTACATGATTTTGGAAATGTTACAAAATTAATTGAAATAAATTGATTTGACATGGAAGACTGAATACTTGATATAAAACAGAATTATGGGGGATTCACTTCAATGGACATTCAGAATCATAAATAGCATTGCAATTTAGCCTTTTTCACATCGAACATTTCCACAAGGAACTGATTACTCGCTTCGTACTCCAAAAGGCAAACCTTTAAAAATTTTCTTAAATATTTCTAGAATATCAAAATCAGGGGGTGTAATGCCTTTTAAGTTCTGTAGAATTTACTGTATTAGGAATGTGTAGATTTTAAATGTTTCTAAAACTATTAAACATTTATTAGGCTTTCTCCGTAGTCAGACTTTAAAATCGTTAAGCTGGTTAATTTAAATTTGAATATTTCAGAAGAGCCTGTATTTTGTCTAAGATGTTTAGTAGAATGCTGTGATGAAATTTATGTGTGTTTTCAGAGAAAGATTTTGATAACATGATCTCTAAACACATGTTGATAGATCTTATCGTTATAAGAGGGGGAAGGGGGTGCAAAAAACCTACGAATCTTACACAGAAAAAAATTGTTAAAATGTACTGCTAATAAATGCCACAACTTTTATACAATTATAGGATTATTTTACGATTCAAGCAAAAATAATTATCAACAACTTTAATCTTAAATTTTTGGTAAATTTCTTTTTTTTAATTGTCATCTTTTGAAACAATACCTTGTATCTTTAGCAGTTGGGAAGGTTTGTAAAATCCTTCCTTTCTCCTTGTCTTCTCCTTCTTGTATAATCTGACCGTCAGGGTCAAACCAGGTCAACCTAAATATTCAACAGCTGATCAATACAGTTCAAGGAGTTTGAAAAATTTGTGGATTTTCAATAGCCGGCAAAAATTATCATCACTAATAGTACACAAATTAAGGATGCGCATTTTTAAACGCAAAAAAGTTTAATGAACTTACATGGCAGCTTTATATAATACGATGTAAGGAAAATAGGGTATGGAGCTGTTTTCTTACTTTGTTTTTTTCTTTAAAGATTTATTTAGACAAAACACATTTCCCAAGTTGATTTGTTGACAAATATGCTAAACTTGGCCCAACAAGGCGTTAGAAAATATTTAGTTTCTGGTGAAGTGTCCGCGGGTTCCTAGTTTACAAAATCCTCAAGATTTTAAAGAATATTCGTCTGCATTTTCATGTGGCATTTCAAAGGCTCGGGACATAACAAATACATTCCAGAAGAAATGTATACCCCGTTCTCTCGTGGTAATTGAAAGTTTGCCCCCCCCCCTCTCAACATCCCTTCTAAAAAGGGAAACTTCCCATTGTATTCCAGGTTAGTTTAGGTTAAGATTGATAGATATTAACAGGAGGTTGGTGCTTATGACGAAGTGGGCGGAAGGGCAGGGAATCCACGGATGAAGGATGAAAAGGAAAAAGAAGAATGAATGAATGAATGAATACCTAGGAGGTGGATGAGCTTGAATGTTAACTACCCACTGGACTGTTTCCTCTCTCCCCCCTGGTTTCTGAATAGTAGAGGAACCTTCCTGCCACACATTCAGGAAACTTTGGTCTCTCTCATAGATTCTAAATAAAGATCAATCAATCAATTATCTATCAAAGCTTAATCAGTCATTTAATCAGACAATTTATTGGTCAATTTGATGGCCAATTTTATGGTAAAATTGACAAACCAACCGAGTAATCAACCAAATAAATTAATCATATATTCAACCACTTAATCAACCAGTTAATCAACTAATTAATCAACTAATTAATCAACCAATTATTCAAACGATAAACAAATAAAAACAAATTAATTAAAGAATGATTATATAAAGAATTAAAGAAAATTTAAGAAAAATTTCTTTTATTATCATATGTTATTTTACTTAAGATTTTTTCTTGAAAACTAGAAATTCTTTATTTCATATGAAATCTAATCCATCATTTCATGAAGATCAAATCAATTTAAATCAAAATTTCACGGGTGAAAACTCAAAACAATGCCATTTTTACGGTTTTTTAAAAATTAACGATGTTATTTGTGAATTTTTTATGGCAGTCTTTGATCGCAATCTTTTTACCTGATAAATTCACGTTTAGATTTACTATTCCCTGAATGATCGGTCACAACACACTCGTAGCTTCCTTGGTCCTCCTGCTCAGCATTGGATATCCGTAGGCGCTGCTCAACAACCTTCAAAGCAAGTTATAAATCCATGAATCATTCAATTTATCAATCAATTTGTTTACTAAATTATTTCAATTAATTAATTTATTCAAATACGTCAGTACAATGCTGATAAATAAAATAATAAAAATGGATAACTCTTGAAAACCAATTATCATCCAACAAAACCAACCAATAAACCAGCTAACTATCCAACAACCAACCATGTCAAACCGTAAACCAACCTATCAACCAACCAATTAATCAACAAACCATCCTAACAGTCGACCAGCCAACCAACCCCCACCAACCGAACAACTAACTAATCAACCATACATTCAACCATAAAATCAACCAAATCAATCAACCAGTCAGGCAGTTTAACAAATCAACCATCTATTTACCTTAAAAGGCTTGCCTCCTAAAGTAACATTTCTTGAGATCGGATCAGGAGTCTCAATGCGTGCAACATTTTTAGATGTGTTTGGAACACTCCAGCTTAATCGAACCTTAACATTTATAAAAATAATTCATTCGTAACGTATTTGTTTAAAAATCCCAACATTGTTAGAAAACACCCCAACATTTTATTCATAACATCGAATCCTCGAAAGCATTTTGTTACAAACATTTTGTTCAAAACTAACAACATAACCGAAAAACGTTTTGTAAGATATCTTTATCACTCTGTAAATTATTAAGAACACAAAAATTAGAATTTCGAAATACTTTGGATACTTTGAACACAATTTTAGGGTTTCTACAAACAGTGGATTTACAAAAGTATTATAACATGTTTTTAATTGCTTCTAAAAAAAATATTTTTTTTAAAAAAGATACGTGTTCGCAATCATTCTTTAAATTTTCAAAACCATCATCAAAAATGGTTAATTAAAAACTCCAGTGTGATAAGATTCATAAAAAATTGACCAAATTCCCATATATGCAGGGATATAAGATAAGATATGAACCTTCATATAAGACGAAGAGAAAGGGTAGGGGGGAAGGGGGAAGAGAAGGGGTAGGGGGGAAGTGAGAAGAGAAGGAGTAGGGGGGAAGGGGGAAGGGGAAATGAAAAAGTACAATAAAGCTGTTTCGAATCAGGATAAACATTTTGCATGTCCCAGCTTGTTTTTCAGACAGATCTTTTTGCTTGGAAACTATAGACGCTGAGATAAAATTATAAACATCTGAAGGTTTTTCTGTGCACACAATTCATTGATCTGCTTAGAACTTTCAACATCTTAGAAATACAACTTTTTTAGCTTTGATTAAAACTTGTACTTTGAAAGATGAGTTGGGAGAAATTTTCAAAAAAATGAATCCGCAAATAAATATATTTTATTGGCAGTCCTACCCTCATTTTTTGCATTCATTGCAAAGCTTCAAAAATATTCATAAATCACGCAATGAGCAAAATATAAAAATACTGATTTTATTTTTTAAATATTTCTGTCTGATTTAGTGTGAAAACTCCCATTGAAATAAATCAAAACATGAAATATTTGTTGGATTGATTTTTTTCAACAAAAAGTGTTCAACTTGTAGTCTGCAGAACAAAAGTTTAAAATATATACTATATATAGGTCTGATTTAATGAAAACAGAAGTTGTTGTGTCAACTTAAGTTCTTTAATAAAGACAACAAATTTTCGAACCTGGGTATAAGTAACATTTTTAGTTTACTTTTAGACCGCAATATGTTAATCAAAAGTTGACTTTGGACTTTGGAGTATAAAGTGAATATATATATAAATATATATATCCATAGACACAGTGTTTCGTCCTATTATGGCTCTATTCAATATATATGAATATATAGTTTTATATGATTTTGTTAAGATACGATAAAGTATGTTGTATTGCTATTCTTGATCCACTTTATACCCTTTAAAGTATATCAGAGTTTAAGAAATTATATTTATAACAGCTCCTGTAAAAAAAGAACTCCAATTTCCTTGTTCCCATATCTTTGCAACCTAATAATCATGATAATATCCTTTGACTGACCCGCCAATATTTGTGAACCGCCTTTAAAACGCATATAGTTAGTTATGCTAACAGAGGTGTAATGTACTGCAAATGTACAATAACAACGACTATTATTGTTATTAAATAATTAATGAACAATATCATGTACAGGTGTATGTACAGTACATGCCTATATTGATATTGTTGTACCTGAATACTCCAGTCTACTGTTATTGTACATGTGAGTACAAGGGTTTGCCCAGCTGTTACATGTTCTCCTGAGGTCTTGTTAATATGTGGAGGTGGTACATAGCTAAACATTAAAAAAACATTATAATCATCGCCAAAATAGTATGAAAAGCAAGCTTGGTTTTTTAAAGTACTTAATTACAAATGAAGAAAAACCATATAAATGCTGTTTACCAAATTCTTAGTACATGTACAATTAAAAATGTATATTCTGCTTTTATGCACATTAGACATTTGAGAAAATATTAGGAAAAAGTGTCACATAGTCTTTTGCTTGGAAGGTATTAGATGTTATTTCTGCCGGTAGAAAACATTACTTTTTACACTCACACAAACTTAACAGGCAGTTCAAACTCTGACTTTTATGGCTCCAGGGGACAATTTAGGGGCCGTAGGGGGACTGGGAAGGGGACAATTTAGGGGCCATAGGGGGCTGGGATGGGGACAATTTAAGGGTCGAAGATATGAAAGGGGGCACAGGAAACGGCCGTAAGCTTAAATGGGGGCAACCTAAGGGCCGAAGGCTTTGAAAGGGGCAGTACGATTAAGAGGGTTTCAGGGTACGGGGGGGGGAGGTGAGGATGGATACAAGAAAGGGGCAAGGGGTGCAGTGCAAGAGTTAGGAAGGGGACAAGAAGTGCAGTGCAGGAGTTGGGAAGGTGGTAAGGGGTGCACTGAAGGAGTTGGGAAGGGTGCAATTGGTGCAGTGCAGGAGTTGGGAAGGGGGCAAGGGGTGAAGAACAGGAGTTAGGAAGGGGGCAAGGGGTGCAGTTACAGAGTTAGGAAGGGTGCAAGGGGTGCAGTGACGAAGTTAGGAAGAGGGCAAAGGTTTAAAAAAATTAACAACGCAGGAATAAAATAAAATAGTTAGAACGACAAATGAATTACATTCAGCGTAGAGGGGTCTTCAGGAAATAAAAATTGTGAGTGTTTAACAAATCAACCATCTATTTACCTTAAAAGGTACTAAACATCAAGTTTCGTAAATTTGTTTATTTTTTACAAATTGTCAAAGCTCTTTTATAATATAGCTTTTAGTTTCATCATTATTTTGGTCTTTCTGATTTTTATGTGTTAATTTTCTACCTGGTTTTAGGTCTTACAATCAGCTGGGTTTTGTATTCGCTAGTCTTTCCTTCAAATCTGAAAAATAACAAATATAAAGAATAATAATTTTTCTCTTGCTTGACCTCTTTACTTTATCTTCTACTTGACCGACTACTTGACCCCTTGCTTGACCTCTTGTTTGACCTCTTGCTTGACCTCTTAATTAGCCATTTACCTCTGCCTTAACCGCGTACTTAACTTCTTTCTTGACCTCTTGGTTGACCTAATAATTTACCTGTTTATTTACCTCTCACTCGACCACTTATCTCACTTGACCTCTTACCTTACGTGACCTCATATCTCTCACACTTGACCTCATGTCCCTCATACTTGATCTCATACTTGATCTCATACTTGATCTCATACTTGATCTCATACTTGACCTCTTACTTGACCCCTAACTTGACACTAACTTGACCCTAACTTGACCATAACTTGACCCTAACTTGACCCCTTATATGATCTCTTTATTTACCTCTTACTTGACCTCTAACATGACCTCTTACCTTATTTGACCTATAACTTGACCATTAACTTGACCTCTTACTTGACATCCAACTTGACCATTAACTTGACCTCTTTCTTGACCTTATACTTGACTTCTTACCTTAGTTTACCTCTTAGTTTACCCCTTACTTGACGTCTTATTTGACCTCATACTTAACCTATTGGTCGACCACTTCCTTGACCTCTTAATTTAACTCTTAATTGACCTCTTACTTTATCTCATATTTGACCTATGACATGAACAATTACTTGACATGTTATCTAAACTTTTACCTCTTTCTTGACTACTCTTTAATCTTGATATTGACCTTGTAACTTGATTTAGCACTTTAGCTTGATCTATGAAAATCCACTTAGACCTAAGCTATACTTGACCTCAAGCATATAAATAATAACCTGGCTTGACAAGTATATATTCCAGTGTGCTCCAAGAGGACAGGAGAAATCAGAAACCCAACCTGAAAGCAAGAAAATTTATCTTCAACGCAGTTTATTAAAAACAACTTTTCTTTAGACTCTGGACTTTTTGACTTTTTTTCACAATGATGATCACCTGTAAAATATCAAACAAATGACCCTAATTCAAAGAATAACAATATTCTTGAAACATTTATATCACGGGCAGCCGGAGTACATTTGAATTTCCGAGCCGGGGCAGTCTTACCGTTCCCAGTTTGTACTGTCCCTAGCTCTATGGACAGGACTAGCCGGTGCAACAAGATTGACGCGGTCAGACTTTATGCTTTATATAGGTTGAATTTACTTTTACTAAAGGGGCAGAGGTGCGTAATATGAATACTGTTAATTTCTTAATATTATTCTTATTATTATTATTCTATAAGTCCTTAGGACTTTTTTGTTTTCAAAATGTGTCGATATATAAACTTTTCAAAAGATCTGTTTATTTTTAAAACTATGAAAGTTGATCTGTTTGTTTACAATACCGGTTTATCTAAAATATAAAATTGTGAAAACTTGGATGCAAGAAACATAATATCACTATTTAAACAAAAAATATATTTTAGATAAAAAAACAAGTTAGATAATGTAAACATTGCCTTATTTTTACATTTTTTTTTTCGATAAACCTCAATCATATCCTCTTAATTTTTTCTTTTTCATTCTTTTCATTCTTTCCTTTTATCTTTTTTCCTCCGTGCTTTCCTCTAGATCTGTATTTAAATCAATAAATCAATCAATCAATCAATCAATCACTCAATCTGTCTATCTGTCTATGTGTCTTTCTGTCTATCTCCATGTCTGCTAAACTATCAAACCTAAACAACTGTTAATCCGTCCAACTGTCCATCTGTCTAGTTGTCCAACTGTTTAACTGTCCAGCTGTCTAGATGTCCATCTGTCTAGCTGTCTATCTATCCCGTCTGTGCGTGTGCATACATGTATTTTGTCACAAATTGAAGCCAAATCAAGGCCAACACCTCTCTGCAAACAAGGATTCTCAATAGAAAGGATAGACACATGAGAAAATTCGACGGAACTTCGTGTGAATTTGATTTTAGCAGATCGTTTTAAATCATTACATTCACTATTTGCACACTTAATCAAAAATAAAAGAAAAAAAAAAATTAAGGAAGTGTTAGACGTTACCCCCCTTTATCTTTGTTAAAAGTCCTTGATTGCAAAAAGAGTTATGGCCGGGAAGGGGAGGAAAGAATTTGAAATTTTGGGAAATTCATATTTTTACAAATATTTACAAATATATTCATAACCCGATATTCAGGGGAGACGACACGATGACATAATAATATTTTATTTAAAAAAAAATAAAATTTTCATTTTAAAAAGTTTTTCCTCATAATTAATCTAAGGAATTGGAGATTAAATGTAAAATAACGTGAAAAGACGACAAATATTTACTTCTATATATAAGATTTCACATGTCTAAATATATTTGTGTACATACTATGCAAATTTATAGAAATAGTGGAGAACATGTCAGAATTTGGAGTCATCATTTGAGACCCCGCTATTAATTGCTCCTTGTCAATCAATACATTATCTAAAATTAGCAAACTCCAGTTTATCCAGAATTAAACAAAGTTAAAAAAATATTTTGTTAATTAGTAAAGAACGTTGATTTGTAGCTGGTTATTAAAGGGGAAAAAATGGGCTAAGACAGACACTTATAAAATGGTGGAAAAATATAGAATAATGTCTGCTTTTCCCGCCATTCCGGCAAATATTCAAATAAGTCAGTAGTTCTCTAAATTCGCACAAATCTAAATCCGAAAAAGGAAAAAGGTTAGATAGGAAGATAGATAGGCGAAGGGTTTGTTTACAAAACAGTAGAAATTTATCTAACAAGTTCCAATGTTTTTGTCTTTACAACAAATAAACGGAAACAAAAAAGCGACATTTATTCAATATATTGAAGACAACAAACCCTAGATTTTTCCCTGGAAATTAGGAACATAAAATTCAACAAACTAAAATAAACGAAACTTCTAGGAATTCTAAATAAGTGTTTAAACCTAGAATAACGAGCCTGGCCTACTTCTAGGATGAATGTGCAAAAAAAAATATTTGCGTATACAACACCATGATCGGTAATCTACGCATATTTTGCGTAATTGCGAGGCAAGATATTTCCGTTTGACGAGTGTGGGTTACATTTTTCCAATATTTTACTTAGTCTCATATGTTCATTACATACTGATAACTATAGAACAACATACTAACTTCAACCCCAACTATTCCTTTGACAATTCATACAATAAACTCAGGGAAGATAGTTTTAATATTGAATTCTTTTAATTTTTTTATTTCTTATCTTTGTAAAACCAATTCAATATAAATCTCTAAGCATGGAACAAATGTACAACTTTTCTCTAGACATCCACGAGTCTCATTGTAGAAAATTCACGAATTAAAAAAAGCTAAATGTAGTTCCACATTCGTTACGTTAATGGGACTCTAATTTAAATTATCTAAAAAGAAGACATTTAAACTTTTAGCCTCATAAAAATATGAGATTTAATCAGTTTATGCTCGATGCTGCAAGCTGAACTGTAAAAATTCAAAGAGTAGTAAAAAGTTCTAAAATTTTGATAAAAAATTGAAATGTTTTTTTTATTGTTTTTACAACGTTTTTATAGGATGATGTCAGAGAGAAAAAAAACAGATCGAGTTCCTGGCATTTTAAGAGACTGCTAATTTAATTTTACGTACACCTAGATTAAACAATCCATATTACAATTTTTGTTAACTTTAAAAATTTTTATTCCTTTCAACGTGTGTTTGTCCAGCTTATTCCCCTCGAGAAACCTTTAAATAATTTAATTGAATGTTTTGAAAAATAATCGTGTTTAACATATATATCATCATCTACATCAACATCATCAACAACATATATATCATCATCTACATCAACATCATCAACAACATCTATATCATCATATACATCAACATCATCAACAACATATATATCATCATCTACATCAACATCATCATTATGGCTCTATTCAATATATATGAATATATAGTTTTATATGATTTTGTTAAGATACGATAAAGTATGTTGTATTGCTATTCTTGATCCACTTTATACCCTTTAAAGTATATCAGAGTTTAAGAAATTATATTTATAACAGCTCCTGTAAAAAAAGAACTCCAATTTCCTTGTTCCCATATCTTTGCAACCTAATAATCATGATAATATCCTTTGACTGACCCGCCAATATTTGTGAACCGCCTTTAAAACGCATATAGTTAGTTATGCTAACAGAGGTGTAATGTACTGCAAATGTACAATAACAACGACTATTATTGTTATTAAATAATTAATGAACAATATCATGTACAGGTGTATGTACAGTACATGCCTATATTGATATTGTTGTACCTGAATACTCCAGTCTACTGTTATTGTACATGTGAGTACAAGGGTTTGCCCAGCTGTTACATGTTCTCCTGAGGTCTTGTTAATATGTGGAGGTGGTACATAGCTAAACATTAAAAAAACATTATAATCATCGCCAAAATAGTATGAAAAGCAAGCTTGGTTTTTTAAAGTACTTAATTACAAATGAAGAAAAACCATATAAATGCTGTTTACCAAATTCTTAGTACATGTACAATTAAAAATGTATATTCTGCTTTTATGCACATTAGACATTTGAGAAAATATTAGGAAAAAGTGTCACATAGTCTTGATGGACGTGTGGGGGATATAGT